GATTTTCTGTCTGGATAATCTGTCCATTGATGTAATTGGGGTGTTAAAGCCTCCTACTATTTTTGTATTATTGCCAGTTTCTCTCTTTATGTCTGTTAGTATTTGTTTTATGTATTTAGGCACTCCTATATTGAATGTACGTATGTTAACAAGTATAATTTTTTCGCTGATCCCTTTATTGTTAAATAATGCCCTTCTTTGTCTTTCTTTATGATCTTTGTTTTAAAGTCTATTTTGTCTGACCTGAGTGTTGCCACCCCTGCTGTCTTGTCATTTCTATATTCATGATACATCTTTTTTCTGTCCCATAAGTTTCGGTCTGTGTGTATGTCTTTCACCCTGAAGTGAATTTCTTGTAGGCAGCATATTGAAAGTTCTTGTTTTTTTTTTTAATTCATTCAGCCACTCTGTGTCTTTTGATCAGAACATTTAGTCCATTGACATTTAAAGTAATTATTGATAGGTATTACTTCCTGCCATTTTAATTCTTGTTTTCTAATGCTTTTGTAGTTCTTCTTTGTTCATTGCTTCTTTTTGTTTTTCCCTTTGTGATTTTCTTTTGTATTATGCTTGAGCTCCTTTCTTTTTTGTTTTTGTGACTCTACTGTATTTTTTTGTTTTGTGGTTACCATAGAGTTCAAGTATGTTGACCCATAACTGTATTTTAATTGTTACATCTCTTGTTGTGGGTCTCTTTGGGTCCATCTTGTTTGGGATCTTCTGTGCTTCCTGTACCTGGATATCTGTTTCCTTCTTTAGGTTTAGAAGGTTTCAGCCATAATTTCTTCAAATACATTTTTGGTCCCCTTCTCTCTCTTCTATTTCTGGAACCCTTATTATGTGTAGATAGGTGTGTTTTATATTATCCCATAGATCTTCTATGTTGCTTTCATTTTTTTTTCATCTATCTTTATGTCTGCTGTTCTGATTGGGCAATTTCCATTATTCTGTCTTCCAAATAACTTATTCGTTCTTCTGGGTCATTTAATCATCTATTCATTGCTTCTAGATTGCTTTTTATCTCAGCAATTGAATTGTCTATTTTTGATTGGTTCATCTTTATAATTTCTAGTTCCTTGTTACAGTGATCTGTGTTTTCTATCAATAATCTTTCTTAATTCAGTATTTTTTAAATACATTTTTATTGAAGTATAGTCAGTTTACAATGTTGTGTCAGTTCCTGGTGTATAGCACAATACTTCAGTCATACAAGAACATACATCTATTTGTTTGCATATTCTTTTTAACCGCAATATCTAGTTACAACTAGATATTGAATATACTTCCCTATGCTATACAGTAGGACCTTGTTGTTAATCTATTTTATATATAGTAGTTAGTATCTGCAAATCTCAAACTCCCAATTTATCCCTTCCTACCCCCCTTTTCCTCTGGTAACCATAAGTTTGTTTTTTTATGTCTGTGAATCTGTTTCTGTTTCATAAATAAGTTTGTCTTTTTTTTAAAAGATTCCCCATATAAGTGATAGCATATGGTGTTTTTCTTTCTCTTTCTGGCTTACTTCACTTAGAATGATGTTCTCCATGTCCATCCATGTTGCTGCAAATGGCATTATTTGATTCTTTTTTTTTATCACCGAGTAGTATTCCATTTTATAAATATACCACAACTTCTTTATGCAGTTATCTGTTGATGAACATTTAGGTTGTTTCCATGTCTTGGCTATTGTAAATAGTGCTGCTGTGAATACGGGGGTGCATGTATCTTTTTGAATTAATGTTCCCTCTGGATGTATGCCCAGGAGTGGTATTGCTGGCTCATATGGTAGGTCTATTTTTAGTCTTTTGAGGAATCTCCATACTGTTTTCCGTAATGGCTGCACCAAACTACATTCCCACCAATAGTGTAGGAGGGTTCCCTTTTCTCCACAGCCTTTCCAGCATTTATGTTTGTGGCCTTTTGAATGATGGCCGTTCTGACTGGTATGAGGTGATACCTTATTGTGGTTTTGATTTGCGTTTCTCTGATGATTAGCGATATTGAGCATTTTTTCATGCTGCCCCTGCCCCATCCAAAGCACACCCTAGATGCCCTTGTCTGTCTCTGTAGCTAGAGTGAGTCTATGTCCATATACTGTGCCAGCCTGTGGTGTGGACTGAGCAGGGTCAGGGTGTTCTTCCCTGCAGATTGGGCAGTGCAGCTAGGCAGCAGCCGTCAGTGCAATGCCTTCCTCTGATTGCTGGCATGCCAGCATGTGTGTACTTCTCGTGAATAGAGTCCAGGCTTTTCTAGTCCTTCTGTCTGTCTGAGTGGATTTCCCAGTAGGCAGAGGGCCTTGCTCCTCTGCACAGGACCCCAGGGCTAGGATGTCCAGATTGTGGCACAACCTACTCACTTCCCAGAGGATGTACCTCTGCAGACCCCTTCCTTTCAGAGTCTTTGCAGGGGCAGAGGTCCTGACATGGTGCCTTTTTTCCCCATCTACCTGGTTACATGGGGATCCTTCTTGCAGCTTTGGTCATATAGGAGTTCTTCTGCCAGTTCCTAGTTAGTTTTCTGTAAGAATTGTTTGTTTTAGAAATATGAAGAAATGTGACATTTTATGTACCTAAAATGGCATAGGAAAATTTCTACCTGTTTTAGGCTTCTAAAGTGGGTAATCTGCCTGATCATCTAAAATTATCTGGTATTTTATTCACTCATGCCCCCAGGCCAGGCCTTTCCATTACTGGACAAATCTGGATACTATTTTCAGATAGTTTTTTTCTAATTAACTTCATTTAAAAAAAATTAATCCATGAATATTAAGATAGTCAAAAGGAAAATACTGATTTTTCTTTCCTTTTTCCTGTTTTCTTTTCTCTTTCAATTTATGAACTAAATTTTAGGTCAGATATTAGAGAGGTAAACCAATTCTCTGCACAAGTTAAGTAGCCAGTTACTATGCCATTAGTAACAACTTCCATCCAGGGCGTCTCTCTGCCTGACAAAGTGTTTAAAGAGGAAACACTTAGGGAAATCTTTAAGAACAAAATGCATTTCAACTGAGTCAACATGGTGTGCAGCGCATCAAAACATGGAGATTAAAGCATACATCAACTTTTCTCTACCACAAAACTGTCCTACTTGTCATTTTAAGAAAGTAGCCTATCAAGCATATGCTTTGATCATTTATAATGGATTCTTTCTGACTGGTTGTCATCGTGAAAATTAACATGCCTAGTTGAGAAAGCATAACAGCAACGTTGGTAAAGAAAGATTAATCATTTGTTCCAAATAATAAAGGCATTGTCACTGGGATAAATCAATCTAATATCATTAGGAACTTGTATTTTCTTTAGAAACCACATGCCACATCTCACATGCAAATTAAGATTAATGGTGTTTAGTATCTATGATGTGCCTTCATCCATAGATCTGGACATTGACTACAGTACATCAGTGTAGTACATTTTGAAATGATATGGCATGACTAGTGAATGGTCCATTCATGAAGAGCTAAGTTATTCACATATTTAAGTTTTACTGTTGAAACATGATTACGTCTTTTATCTTCTAATAAGTTAAAGATATGAAGGAAACAAGATCAACAAACATAGCTGGGCATTTGTTAAGTATAGTTCTTCATTGACAGTAAACCTTAAACAGGGTTTCAGTTCAAAGAAGAATTGACTTTCTCCAATCTGGTTAAAGCATAGAGGTCTAATAAATTTGTAAAATGACCTTATGAAGGAAGAAAATAATCAAAGAACAGAACCCAAAATATTTACTTGTTACAATTAAAAAAGTGGAACACTTGTTAACTAGTTAAGATAATCATGTACATCAAGGATGCTTGACTTTCTTTATTCCCATTGTTTATTCAAGAAACAGTATAATCGTGTATTATGCTTATTTAGAAAAACTATGGGACACAATTGTCTTGCATGTTACTTATCACAACTTAAAATTTTTTTAAAAGTTTTTTTGTTTAAGTACAGTCAGTTACAATGTGTCAATTTCTGGTGTACAGCACAGTGTCTCAGTCATGCATATACATATATTCAGATAACTTTTTTTATTTCACAATTTTAGTCTAGCCCAAATGATTACTATCACGGTCCTAACTTAGCACATGTGATTCATGGATGATATAAACAAACTGAAATTCTTCATCTACAAATGTGAACATAAAGCATGAAAGTGGTCATTACAGAGAAATGAGAGAAATAAGGGAGCTTTCTGTTTAAACAAGGACACAGAGGGCAAGATCAAATCACTGTGGAACATAACCACTTCCACTACTTAATGGTCCAGTCTTTTGAATTTCCTTAAATTTTGAATTTAAGGCAGCAGTAGTTTTAATTGCATCTCCCTAAGGATGCATGACATTGAATATTTTTTTCATGTGTTTTTTTGCCATCTGTGTATCCGTTCATATCTGTTGTTTGTTTCCCTCTTCATTAGCAAATAAATAGCTCATTCCCTCCCCCAAAATAATCTTGCCATTGACTAGCTAGAATGTTTTATATTTTATGTTTTCACCACATGCTTGACTCTGTGTCTTCTCCATAATCAGTAATGGTGTTTCTTTGAATTTATTTATATTGAATATTAAACAAAATGCAGCAAATATAACACCTATAAATTGTTTCCTGAAATTGGGAAGGTCAAAAAAGAATTTTTTTTACATATAGTAGCATTTTCCAAACTGTGTTACTAATTCTACAGATAAGTGTTCTGTGTTAAAAAAAAAAAAAAGAGTGCCATGGTCATAAATATTTGAGAAACACTATAAAATGCAGTTACCCAAACGGGTTTGACTGTGGGAGTCCACTTACTTGTGGATCTTTTCAATAAATATATTAAAAATTTTTTTGAGATTTACAACATTTTGAAAAAACTTGCAGATATTCCATATAGACTTAGAAATATCAAAAAAATTAAGAAAAAGTTAGATATGTCATGAATGTATGAAATAGGTGTAGATACTAGTTTATCCTTACATAGGCATAAGGTGAGTGATATTTCATATAAAACTTAATTTCCTACTGTTTTACAGTGTCGCTGTCAAAAGAATTACATCACCCTACAGTATGCATCGCAAGAAACCATGTGTCAGCCTATCAGGTAAGTGGCTTTTTAAAAAATATAACAATGTTTTCAAGAGTGTATTATGAACATGACTAGTAGTTCTGTATGCCATAAGAGTTCTGTAACGATTCATTCATTAACGTATAGGCTAGGCTGTCGTGAAGCCATCATATCAATTACCCTCAGCTACCGTAAAGCAATCAAACTCTGCTTCTTCATTATCAAGGTATAAATCATACCTGTAAGTAAATAGGAGTTTCTTTTTCACATTATCTTTTTATTTTTGATGTCGAATGTTAGTAATACATATATGTACAGTATTTTGTGTCACGTAAGACAATGTTTATGTAGGTATTGACACAATTCATTTTGTAAACTGAAGATGTAAAATTACAGTATTGATAAACACAGTACAGTCCTATAAATGTGTTTTCTCTTCCTTATGATTTTCTGAAGAACATTTTCTTTTCTCTAGCTTACTCTTTTGTTAGAATACAGCATATAATTCATATAAAATACAAAATATGTGTTAATTGACCATTTATGCTATCTGTAGGGTCAACAGAAGGCTATTAGTAGTTAAATTTTGGGGAAGTCAAAAAGTTATACATGGTTTTTCACATATGTAGGGGGTTGGCACCTTTAACCCCTGTGTTGTTCCAGGGTCAACTTTATATCCAATTCCATGGAAATCACATGATAATACCAAAAAAAAGACCCAGGGCCCAAATAGAGATTAAATTTAACAAATAACATTAAATAAATTGGCTGGGATTAACTCTTCTCTTTTTCTTTCTTTCTTTGTGGTTTTTTTTGTATCTGATAGTGGGGGGCAGGGGTAGAGGAGAATGGTCCCCTCAACACTGCCTTAAATCTTTTGGAGATCTTAACAAAGTCTTATTACCACATACTCTATTTGACCTCTACCACAGGCAGTATTTCACTTTGAGAATCTTTTCAGAACAGAGGGAGTAGAAATTAGAGATAGTTTAATTTTCCAACTCAGAAATTCCTAGTCATTTTATAGTCCTTTAAATTTTTCTTGAAATTTTAAGATGTCTTTCTTTAACTGATCTCTGCGACATTTTTTCAATTAAAAGAAGCCAATTGATATTTTCAGCATTCTACCTGAAAATCATCTTACCAAGGTTCCTGAGTATATAAAGTGGATTTTCTTTCTTCTACATCTCCTCAGGCAACTATTTTCCAGCTGTTTCACTGCTGTGTAACATGGGGTACCATTTTTTCCAATTTTCAGTAAAAATCTTCTCAACATTTTCCCCAGGCTTTGCTGGCAGCTTTCTTGCCATTTTGTATATCCTTCACTAACAGTTTCCTTTCTTTTATTTCTGCCTCTGCTCACAGATTGCTCTCTGACTATAGAGAGTTACCATTGGGTCTCTCAAATACTCTGGTATTCTGAACAAAATTCTAGCTTTCTACCTTGCCTGGCCACCCAGTGGCTGATACAGTTGCCTGTGCTTCTTTACTTTCTGACACATCCTTATAGTGAAGTCTGTCTTTTTTTTTTTTAATTGATCATATAATTTATTGCCTCAACTAGAACATCTTTGAGAGTGAAATTAGACACTATTAGTAATTATTCTCAGATAATAGGCAAAGAGGGAGGCTCTCCTGGGCAGAGCAAGATGTATCTTTGCCACACTTTTACTTAACCTGAGTATCTCTCTCTCCTATGCAAACATCATAAATAGCTGGAAAGAACATTATCAATACACTGATACACCGTTCTCCTTGAGGAAACAAAGATTCCTAATACCCATATGCACATACTTCAGAGATAGCTAAATTTTAAAAAATAATTCTAGCTCTAATTCTTTAATATCTGGTTGCAGAACTGGTTAGGGTTTCCCAAACATTTCAAGAACTCTTGTGTAATCTTGGGCCCCAACACTTTTTCAGTACTTTTGCTTTTAAGTATTTAGGCAAATCAAGTTTTCACTTTTTTTATGTATTATGTTTAATTATAAAGAAATTCAGAGATGATAATAAAATATTTATGAACAAATTAAGCACAGTGGATATTAGTAATAAGATAATGAATCATTTAATATATTAATAAATATACTCAAAATTAATTTTACCCTTTGGCCAACCTGGCTGACTTCCTACTGGAAATCTGAAAATACAAGAGTAGAAATTATACCAGGCTGAAATAAGGGAATAATTCAATCCAAACTTTTTTCTATTTTTTTTTCCTCTAAACCAAGAGCCCTTGGTTTTGTTTTGTTAGACAAGAAAAGACAAAGAACCAAGCTCCACAGCAGCCAAGACTTGTGTAGCACAGAATGCAGTGTGTATCGAAACATACAAACCTTGGTCAGACTGGGAAGGTGGCTGAACACAGAGCTGTGGGTCCCCGGGCCCTCTGGTCAGTGGCAAGCTCTGCTGTTGCCTCATCCTCGTGCTCCTCCAAGCCTGGAGCCAGCTTTCTGCACAAAGTGCGTGGTGGCCTGGGTCACCTTATCTGGTCCAGTATTGTACACAGGGTGAGCATTCAGATGGCCTTGTGGAATATGGAAATTTCCTCTATTTAAGGCAGAAGCAGCCAGCCCAGAGTGAATTCTATTTTCGAGGTGCCTCAGTGTACATTCTAGGTGCTGAGAAGCAAGTTCATTTTTCAGAAACACTAGAAACTAAGATGGTTATTATGGACTTAACAACTTAGTGGAAATTGACCTAAAACTGCTAACTACATGAGTTACAGGGAGTGAGTCCACATTTCAGTGTTCTGTCCTATGCCATTTGATTATAGTATAGTTTTCATGTTTGACTGTGGTGCTAGGAAATATGTTGTCTGAGTTACATAATATCAGCATTTCCTGGTTTGGGTAAATAAATGTACCAGTTGTTCTGCTGGCTACAGGAAACAATAGTATTTAACGAAGAAAAAAATCTTTTAAGAAGCTAATTCCTATACTAGGAAGTGACCTGGACACTGGGGAAAAAATGAGTACAAAAGAATTTAACTTCAGGTGCAAATTGCATTATCTGAAATATAGAGTTCATCTTTCAGCTTGGTTGAGAATTAAGTACTTGGTAGTCAAACGTTGTCTGTAAAAGCTTAATTTACATCAGGAACACTTTGAATTTCATCATTTGGTATTTCTCTAAGGTTCTTAGTTACTTAAAATGTGTGGTCAACCTGCAGCCAGTAGGAAATGGCATTAGAAGAATACTGACATGAATGTATAAATCACTTAACAGCTTGTGAAACATTTACTCCAGTTAGCGAATTGCATATAAAATCTTAAGTCTGAGTTAAATCAAGAGCTGTGGAAAATTTCAGAGAGGTAAAACGAAGGCAACTGTTTTTAAGGCAGTTTTCCCCTAAAAATGATGATATTAGACTAAATGATCTCAGTGTTGTTCTGTGTGTCTAAATTTCTAAATTATTGATTGGTAGGTTAGCACACTTTCTGAAAATACAGAATTAAAATCAAGCCGCTTCATATATTCTTTATTTTTGCAAAGTGTAAATTGGTGCTTTGTTTATGCCCCCTCCCTGGAAGTATACTATAAAAGCAGCATGTGCGTGCAAATATGCTTGGGTGTTAAGTATTTGTCATGTTATTTTTTTCCTCTAGAACTTTTTTTCTCCAGTTAACGGTGCAGAGTTGATGTGGGAGAGACTCTGGCTCTGGGCATGTCTGTTGTGTAATTTGGATGAAGTGGACGTTACAGACAGACAGGTGGGTGTGTGCTCATGTGACTGCCTCCGGGAGGGCCACTTGGGAGCCGTGTCACTGGAGGCATTTCATTTTCTTGGTTTATTCAGGAGGCAATCTTGGCTTATGTGGATTCCCTGCTAAGGTGGAACTACGTCCCTTGAGTTTACTCTGTACAAGTTACAGTGCTTTGGGCTCTGATCTTTACTGTCAGTGGGATTGCAGAGGCAGTCTTCAAGGCCTCTGAAGTCCTAAAAGGATTGGATAGGGGTTTTAACTTAAACTCAGATGTTAACATACAAATCAGAGGGCTTTTTGCTATACGATGAACATAAAGATGATTCTTTTCCAGACAGATTATTGTATATAAATCATGGAAACTACTGTGGGTCTTTAAGCTCTGAATCAAAGGGAAATCAGAGCAGGCTTCTTAGTAATTACTGACATACCCTGAATTCAGGTGCCTATATACCCTACACACTTATATGCATCCTTATGCTTGAAATAATCTCGACAGCTATGAGAGATTCTGAGAACCAACCTATCTAACATCGCACAACAGTGAGGTGTAGAGCTGCGATTTAACTCCAGGTCTCACTGACTAAAAAGATCAGATTTTTCCATTACAACACCCTTGGTCTCAGGACATCATGAAAAGGAAATTGTGAAGTCATCTAAAAAATTGTTTAACTCAAATCCTCCCTTCCCTTTGATGTAATGGAAAAATGAAAGCTTTGCCCAGAGTGTAAGAGAGCGAAATCTAGACCCAGAAATCTAACCTTCAGTTTAGTATCCTTTTATTGAGCCTGAGATGAGTGCAAAATTTTAGAATAAATTGAATTTTTCTTCACGATAATAATTTCCTAAGCTGTTGTATCCTCCACTGTTGCCTTAACACTTAGCAGGTCTGTTCCAAAAATAATAGGAAACAGAACAAAATACAACTAAAATTGTTATCATTCTCTGTGCCCTATTAAAACCCACCCTGCATTATGCATGCACCATGGATGATTTTTCCCTTGGCAAAGTGTGGAGAACATTTAAATTATAGAATCTCAGACCTCGAAAGGGTCTCAGAGAAGCCTGATACAAAACCTCCTTCCGTAGACAAAGAAGAGAGGCCCAGGGAAGTTAATCCCATGACTCAAGTCACATGGTGAGTGACGGTTTAGTTTGCCTTTTGATCTTCCCAGTCACTCTAGTGCCCTTATCATCGCATCACCTTCCTTACCTTTAACTATGTTTACTTGTCTTGATCTCTGCACAGCTAACTGTGCGCGCGCATGCACACACACACACTCAGTCTAAGGAGAAGAAAGTGATACAGAATGAAGAAAGATAAACCATAGAAAATACAGACATGCAGACCTGATTAATGTGCTGGCTATAAATCTCAGTGCAGTATGATTCTTATTGCCCTTAGTGGAGAATTTACCTGGAAAAAGCCTAGTATTAGAGATGTTCATTGAACTTGCTTCTAGCTTTTTGACTTCTCTTTTTCAGCATCCAAGGAACAGCTACCAGTATTACTTACTGAATCTCATGCTTTCATTTTTTATTTCCACCAGCTGTGGTTTAGGCATTTTCCTCTCACAATCCTTTAAGATTCTCTAGTGTTATCAAGCAATCTAAAAACATTAATTTGAAGGATACGTAAACCTAAACCTTCCACTAAGCCCTCACAGTTATATTACTCTTTATTTTTCAAATATTGTCTATCCTTCCATCTGCAGACGTCACCTACACAGAATCTCATAATGTCCTGTCTTTGGGAAGACGTGTCATCTTTTTTATTGGTACAATCTCAGCTTCTTTATCTAAGTGGAAAGGAATCATAACTTCTGTCTTACCTAGAGGAGAAGGTCTTCATAAACCTTATTAGTAAATGATACTTTATTTTATTTTATTTTTTGATCTTTTCTTCTTGAACAGTCATTGATTTAGTGTTTCAGGTGTACAGCAAAGAGATTCAGATATATATATATATATATATATATACTTTTTCAGGATTCTTTTTCCATTATAGATTATTACAAGATATTGAATATAATTCCCTGTGCTATACAGTAGGTCCTTGTTGTTTATCAATTTTATAGTAGTGTATATCTGTTAATTCCAAACTC